AAAGCATCATGAGCCGGCATCCCGCAGGTAATCGCCAATAAGGGCGAAGTCTAAATTCTCGTGGGTGGTGAGACCTAACAACAAGCAACGTGGTGGTCGTGAGCAAAGCGTGCCTCGGCGCACGAAAAGGGAAGAATTGCGTCCAATGCCGAAGGTATGTTGTATAGGAGTATCGTAAATATAGGTTGTATCTGGAGGGCTGACGTGGAATGTGGACTGTGCCCCTGTTCCCGTCGATGAAAATTTACTAAATGTTTTCAATGCTCCCTCGAGCGAAGTACTGAACATGCTGACTCTTGTCCACTCTGTGTTTTTTGTTTGTGGATGCCTGCTCCTATCCCATAGATGGAGGTTACGGATGAAGGAGCTACGCTCTCCCGCAGCGACACCTACGTCGGGCGTTGCAAGCCGTGCGAAGAGTACCCCGACGGCATGAAGACGAAGAAGGTGTCTGATGCTGTTCACTCGCTCGAGCGCGTTCTTTCGGAGCTGAACATCGACTGCAAGGAATCTGGGCCCGAGTACAACCTTGCGCGCTCGGCCAGGATCATCCTCCGGGTCGGCAAGAACCTCGACGGATACTGGGNAAGCGCGTTCGTTCGGAGCTGAATATCGACTGCAAGGAATTTGGGCCCGAGTACAACCTTGCGCGCTCGGCCAGGATCATCCTCCGGGTCGGCAAGAACCTCGACGGATACTGGGATAGCAACCGCTTGTGCGTGCAGCTTGAGGTGAGGAAAGTCAACCTTTAGATATCTACAGAGCAACATTGTGTTTCGAGGTGGGTTCATGGCCCTCAGATTTTCTTCCCACGACCTGGCTTCTACATTCTGTTTCCAAACGAAACTCTGAGCCACGCGTCTCGCCAATACACATTTCCATCGCGCTCACGCTTTCATCTACAGGCCATATTCGCGGCGTTCGAGATCTCGAGGCAACCAGGCCGACAGATGCTCGAAGTCTTTGACAACTCCACCGGGCACAACGCATACAGCCCCGACGCCTTGAGGGCGCAGAACATCCGAGCCTCACCAGGGGGCGAGCAGATCCCCCCCCGCAACTTCGAGTACAACGGCAGAACGATCTACACGACGTTTCGGGAGGGCGACGTGCTGTGCTTCAGATCCAGCCCCTTCGCTCGAAAGACGGAGGCGGAGGCCGTGGGTGAGCTCCATCGTTGATTTAGGGACTTTTTTCTATGTAGACATATATCTATCTACTGCACTGCTGTAGAGAGTTGACGTGATTTTAGGAACTTTTTTTGTGCGAGGCATAAAAAAAAAACACCACGTGATGCTCGAGGTTTCCCATCCCATCCAGTTTCGTAGATAGTGGCTATGGGTACGAAAGAAATATCGCCTTTTCCCCCTCCTGCTCTTGTCTCCGTCAAACGTATGTAGCCAAGAAACGACACGGGAAAAGGGTGGGAGTGTTCCCGATAGGAACGGTTGTCAAACGGGGGACCAGCTCGGAGAAGCTGATTGGTGTCGCCAAGGGGATGAAGGAGATTCTGGAGGACATGGGGCTGTACAAGCTAGCCAGCGAAACGAAAGCGCCACCGCTGCTGTGCCAAAGGTGGGATCATTGGTTTTCGTTTCTGTTTCAGGGGCTAAAATGCCGGCGTGCCCTCCATGCCTCGTTTGAAGTCGATGTACTATTCGAGGTGTCTTCAGCTTTTTCCCTTGAGCTCTATTCTGCTGCGATGCACCTGGACTCGCGGTAACCTATATTTACGTTTTCGGCGCCTCTTTTTTTCATGTCTCTGTTCTCTGTTTCTTTTCAAGGTGCAAAGACGAGGCTAAGGCCAAGCGGGACAAGTCAACGATGTACAACAAGGGGGGGGAGAGCCGGCAGCAGGCGCTCGAAGGCGAAGGAGACTCCGATGATTCGGACGAAGACAGCGAGGAAGGTGGTGCTCGCGATGCAGCCAGAACATCGAGAAGATGCTGCTGCCAGCGAATCATCAGCGAGGTCAAGGCCTTCAAGGAGCAGATGAATCGGGTCGAGGAGCTGTTCGAAGCTGCTGGGCACGCATGCATTTTCCTCGCCAAGTGAGTGAATTTTTTTGGGCGGAGATGTGTCTATGGGTAGAATATCTAGATATCTGCAATACGCGCATGTGGTTCGATTCTAATCGTATAATGCTGCTCAGACTCTTGCGCTAAGTTTCCTTCTCTGCTCTTGCGGGGTTTCCAGGTACCACCCGGAGCTCAATGCTATCGAGCGTTTCTGGGGCTACACCAAGTCTATCGAGCGCCGTGTCTGCGACTACTCCGTCCTGAGTCTGCTTGCAAGGCTTCCCATGACGCTGAGCACTGTCACTTTGTCACTGTGCCGAAAATGGGCCCGTGTTTCCTGGCTGTACATATATGCCTACAGCCACGGGCTTGAGGGCTACTTGCAAACCCGAGACCTCAAGAAGTGGACGAACCACCGCTCGCCCACCGACACGGCCGACAACGTGTTGCTGGCTCGTGGCCAAGCAACAACCGCGGAGGAGCGCAAGGCCAAAGAGCAGGC